TCGAAGGCAGAGGCCCACCACATCAATCCCAACTGCCCGGATGGAACAGTGAGAAGTATTTGGCTTGGGCTTTGGGATTCTTTGACCATTTCTGTGAGCCGTGCGGGTAGAAGTCACCCTCTGATACGGCCAATGCTGGCGTTGTATTCCAAGTTGCTGGATGGTATGACTTTCAAAGTCTGACTATATGGGACCACATGTCAGCCCATCGACACGTTAAATTCTTTTCAATGGGGTTGTTCATGGCTAAACAGTTATACTTAGACAATTAACCAACAAACTGGCGGGGGTAAGTCGATTTGAGACGAGTTCTTTTTGGGTTCGCACATTCTGCCTTTGATGACTTGGGTTGTCCGTCGTCCCTCCGACAAAAAACTGCTCAGCCGAAACGTTTCGACCAGCAAAAGGACCTAAGTGCAGGACAAATCCTCAAGTGCCGGCAAATGGACCTTGAGCGTTTTGTGTGTTTGCTTGTTTTGCAGCGAAATGTCCGTGGCCGGGAGATGTGGGTATTGTTGCTTGTGTTTCTTCAACAAAAAGCACAAACCCGGCGGCCGGGGGGATGGTTTCGAGGGGAAAGGCGCCATTTCGGAGGGTTCCAACCGCTGGCGCCCGAGCTTTTTGCACAAAACGATGCTCCCACGAGCGAGAGTTTATTTTCTGAGAATGGAAGCTGGGGGCGCTGGAATATTGCCGTCTTGACTGGAGAGAGGTCATCGGAGAGAGGTCATCGGTCGCTGTCTCGCGGGTGATTGGAGAGAGGTCATGTCATCTTTTTTCTTTCACCTTGATGTCGCCTTAAACCTCTCAGGCCGGCCAAAACCGATGCGAGGCGTGACGCCCAGATCTGGCCGCGCACCGCCGCCGCCGCCCAAGGCCGGTGAGGCCAGGCATGGGGCCGCGGACGCGGCGGCCCTCAAAGCCAGCCCAAAATGCGGCCAAGGCCCATGCTACCCCAACAGGTAAGAGAAGAAATACGTCGTGTTCCCCTCCCACGTTTGCTCGCAGCCTTTGATATGTGTTCAACCGGTTGCCTTTTCTTTGTGTACTCCTTTTTTTGTGATTGCTTGTGTCAAGTGTTGTTGCAACATCTTTTTAAGAGAGCTCCAATTCTCTGGCGAGAGGAGTGTTGCCTTTGTCGAAGGTCAAGCCACCTAGAATAAGACACTTCGCGAGAAGAGTAGCCAGCTGTTTGGTGAGAAGCGGAGTCCGAGACGGCCATGGTCGATCAGTTGGAGCTGACTGGAGCTGATTGTATCCCAATTCACGGGATTCCAACAAAGGGTTCATATATTCCGCAGCTAGACAGGAAAAAAGGGGCCGGAAACAATGGAACCGCTGAACCCATGTGGCATAAGCTGACTGCGAAGCTCCTTCCAAAACTTAACGTCCCAAGGGCCCACATCCACAAGTTGCCACCAAACAAAAACTCCATCAACTCCGATGGATAATCCAAAAGGCTGCTCGCCCCTTGTCGCCAATCCTTCTATTGAGAAAACCTCCCAAAGCCCCTTGGCAATTGTGCAAGAGAGGGGTTTCTGGAAAGTATGTGGGGGAAGTGCAGCTACAGTTGTTAGGGAGCCGCTTCGCCCAATGAACGCGCAGTAGGCTAGGAGGTTAAGGAGTTTCAGACATGTGTTCTTTTAAGATAAGGGTGCATGATTTCCTTGGCGTAGGCAGCCAACCTGTTTGCCTTCACGGGCCAACTTGATGCTAGAAGGGCTAGTCACGCACAAATCATGATCTGGGTATGGGTCAAAAGGTCAAAATTAAACCACCAGCGGACCGCAGGTTTTAGTCCATGGTTCCATTTACCAGGGTTCCATTTTGGCTACCCATTTTTGACCCACAGCCATCTCGGAAAACCATCCAAACTGCGTACCCAACAAAGGAACGCCCAGCTCTCCGCACATAGGGCAGAAAGCCTCATTGTTTCACGCGAGCAGGCCCGGAAGGGCAGCAAGGACGGCCAGTGACTTGAGTGGTTGGAAGGGAGCCCAGGGGCTGGGGGTATCTCAGTTTGGTAAAGTGGGTTCTGTAAGGACATGGTAGTTGTCTTATTTTCCGGGCCATTTCCTGCGGAGGGAAGGGCCATGGTAATTTGTGGCTTGGACTGCCCATCATTGAGCCAAATGGTCAATTAGCCCGGACACCAGCGGTTCATACCACCATTTCTGAGCTTGTTTCCTTGGTTGGTTTTAGAGGGAAGTGGCCATGGCTGATGTGTGAGAACGTAGGCAGACGGAAGTTGATCGGCTCTCTTGGGTGGTGCAAAACAGCCAAGAGGGGGTTCAAGCTGAACTGCTTAGCAGGAATTGTGGGCTTGGCTGCTAAATGCGTCCCGCCTTGGACCAGCACTTTCCACCACCTGGTTGGCAGGGGCCCAGGTGCAACTTGCCCATGTTGAGGGATCCAGTTGAACACAACGATTCATTTGGAACCCCCAGTGGCGTGGAAACCACCGACTTTTCAAGAGGAACCGGCGGGCTTCCGTCCATAAGCCTGAATTCTGACTGATAAATCGTAGGTCATTGCCAGGCCCTGGCTGACCATTGCTCAAATCCGTTGATCCTGTGTGTTCCCATTGCCCTAGTTCTCATGGCCTCAAACATACGCGTTGAGTACAATGCAAAGAGATGGTGCCAATGAGCCGTTTCCGCTTGAACCAACTTTCCAGCTGGCGGAATTGGCAGCACCCTCATCCCGGGTTTCGCTGCCACATCCCCTCATGTCCCCTGCACCCACGGCTCATGTATTCATTTGACGCCCAGTCAGTAGGTCATTAGATCTCCTCAGCTTTGTTCCACTCTTGCATTCTTTGTTTGGGTGGGGGCCTGCGGCTCCCTATCAGCAAGAAGCTTTACCAAAGCCTCAAGTGAAGTGGCGCCCCTGTCAGCAAGAAGCTCTCCAAAGCCTCAAGTGAAGTGGCCCTTTGCAGTTTTGGCTTTCCAAAAGTCTGGGGACGCCAACTTTGTGTCGCCAGGAGGGCGACAAGCGACCGCCGCCGCCGCCGCCCAAAGGCAAGCCTGCACGGCCGGAAGCTGAGCTCACGCGCAGTTTGGCATGTTGGGATACACACACAAATATACATATATATATATATATATGTACACATGCATGAATTTGTTGGTTGGCTGGTTGGTTGGTTAGTGGGAAGTCCTTTTTTATTTCCATATTCATAGATACATATTTCAGTTTTATTGCAGGTGAGTTTCTCCTTGGCGGGGTGATGTTTCAAGTATTGGCAACCCTGAAACATCCTGCTTTTTGGGTATCCTGCTTGTTGGGCACGCGTTTTCTTGTTCAGTGGATTGCCCGACTTTGGGCTTCATCTTGCCGGCTCTGAGGGAACCAACGGGGTGTTGGGAATGAGCATGGCTATCCCTTGCAAGAAGACTAGAACGGTGTGGCTCATTGGGGGCACTTCCCTCACTTGCTTGTCTACATGACACTCCCCATGTCACACAGGGCCGTTATGTCACGTACAAATGTGGTTTTAATCATAATCCATTCTTGCATGATATGGAAGCACAGCTGGAGTGGGCCCGCCCAGAGTGAGTGTGCAGACAAAAACATAAACTATTGCATAAAGCAAGTTCACAGCAAGTCTACTTTCTGGATAGAACTGTGAGGAACTCTGTTGTGGAAATTCAGCTGCCGCCAGGACTTTCCCGGCATTTGCCACGGAAATGATGTAGCGCTGAGGTAATGGCATGGACCATCACCAGCGCTGGGTTCTTGCGAATCAAGCCCCTCAGCCCGTTGAGCGACCTACTGGTGAAACCACCTCCCCCAGAAAGACGTGCATGAGCCTCAGGCCTTGCTGGAAGCCTGAAGGCTTTAGCAGAAGGGACTTGCTTCGGATTGGTATGTGAATCTGGAGCGAACTGACGCTCCAAAAAGTCTGTGGAGTGTGCCAACTGTTCGGACCCTTTACCTAGGGACCCCAAACCGCGCTTGGCTGCCCTTGATTTGAGAGTCGCTTCTTTCATGCAGAATAGGAACGTAGAGGATTGCCTTCCCCTGCAGAGTTAACTTAGAGCCAAACACCAAATAGAAAAGTATCATTTGTGGTGGGCACTCCCTTAGCAGTTCCATGTCAATTTGCAGGCCTTATTTCTTTGACTTGACGCGGTGCTGCAAGCAGCGTTCCCGCGAGAATCCGGCTCCAGGGGCGGTTTGTGGCAAACACGCCGTGGGCGGGTCCCAGTTGAGAGGTTAGAGGGGTTCATGACATGTTCCACTCAAAGCTTAACTTTTAGCAGGGGATCTTTGGATATGTGTCATTCTTCCAGGCCCCTTGGACTCTTAGCCCCCATGTTGTAAACATGGAATAGCTGAAATGCCCTGCCAGAGGGCACGCTGATGCAATGGCACAATGGCACTCACACTCGATTTAAAGCCTGACATGAGAATCCTGTTCAATGGCGTTTTCAAGCCAACAGCAACCAGCCACTTTCGAGATTACAGACTCGGTGAGTTCCGGTCGAGCGGATCTCGGCGAAAAGTTTCGCCGACGTGCATGAGGCCGTCCGGTCGAGTGGATTTGAGTTGGAAGGGGCCACTTGCTACCAGGGGTCCGGCTCTTTGGGAGAACACCTGCCCGTTCTTGGCATGTGTTCTTGTTTCCTTTTGGTACTGCGCATTTCAGGCCGAGCCGCTCGTGCGCGCAGACATGGAAGGGGGAAGTTGCCATGGACTCTTGAAAGGGAAGCGGAAAAAAGGGGTGTCCCACAACAACTTTGGAATGGCATGTGAAAGGACGGCTGAAATCCGTGGCTTTCCCAGGTCCAAGTGTTCGATTTCAGGACGCTCACAAAGGGACATGGGCATCCTTTTAGACAAATAGCGGCGGTTTAACGAAGAGGTGGACCTGCACAAGATCACAAAGGAAAATGCATGGGTACATGAAGGGTACACCATAATCGACAGGATACTAGGGGTACTGTTCATCGGGAAAAGCGCTCACTCTCACGTGGAAAGGCAAAGGTCTTCGAGAAATGCTGCTCTATGACAACAAGAGCTACCTATGGCTGCTCTTGCATCGGAGAGGCAGTGTCTTCTGGCGACTTGGGCCAAGTTTCTGGCATAGGTCAGCGTTTGACTGCGTGGGTAGACCCAGCCTAAAAAGCTGAGAGCACTTAAAGACTGCGCGAAAAAGCACCAGACACTGCAGGAAGCTGTCACGCTTTCCAATGTGTTTGGTTTTCCTTTTGTGGCCATGCCAAAGGCCAAAATCCACTTCGCAGTTGGGATTGGTGGTTTACCCCTGGCTTCATTCATCATAACCGGTGCGAAGTGGATATTGTCCATCAGTACCATGGGTCTGACTGAGGAGATGTGACTCTATGCTGGGTGGCCTCCTGGTTGCCTTGGCTGGAGCTTTAGTGCACTATCTGCGGGAGGCCTGGTGTGACCCGGGGAGGATGGGGCGATTGGATTGCGACCTGTTTCTGGGGCCGCGGAAAACAGGTGTGATACTGATGGATGGACAGAATCACCGTATGTCAACGGTGGGTGTCAGTCTTGATGCGCAACTTGGGGGGCCTCCCCCAAAAACATCAATGACACACCCCATGGTAGGTTTCCCATTCACCCGACCTCAAAAAGGATTTCCCGACAAACGACAATGGTAGGCTTCCCGTTTCAAAAGGCACACCAAAATCGTTCACCAGTGGTGTTTGGACCAACAGGAAGGAACCCATCTAACAGGATCCCCCTCTTTTTCTGCATGCAATTCTCGAGAAGCCGCCTCTCTGGGTTCAACCTGAATTTGCATGGGTGTTTATGGAATGTAGCAAAATCGAACCAAGGCTTAGACAACCATTGTTTTTGTTGATTCTTTTTTGATAAGAGGAAACAAAACCTACCACTTGCTTTAGCCATGAGGCTTGGCTCCTTCTTTGATTTGGGTCTCTGGGTCAAACATCTGGCACGCGGTACTTTGGGACTGCTTGTTGGGTAGCAAGATCGGGACACCGAAGCCCATTTTCGGGCATGGCGCAAATCCTGTGTGATTTTCAAGCTATTGAAATGGGTGTAAAGCAGGCTATGAGCTGAATTCTAAGAAACACCTACTCTGAAAGCAGGCCCGATTGGTGGGTTTGGTTGGAGGATGCCAACTACCCCGTATCTGGGTTTCAACAATGGGTAACCCACCAATCCAACCCACGCAGTCTGACGACCAACCCGGCACAACCACGGCAGGATCAAGAAGTGGACATAGGTATCGCCCACCACTACGGGCTACAAGCGCTGGGTGTGGGAGTCACCTGGGCCATCGTGCCCCTTGGCTTTGGCTAAGCTCATGCACCTGTTGGAATTGGATTCTATCAGCGGTTGGTTGGGTTTCGTTTCTTCCCCCAGCTGATAGCTATGGGGTCTTTTTGGAAGGTTGCGGAAGGCTCCGAGAAAAGCTACGGTTTCCGAATTTCCGAGCGGTGGAGGCTCAGCTAACTAGAGGTCTGGATGGGGTTCCGGGGGTTTGAAGATACCGTCTGTGTTTTTTTTGGTTTGGTTTCTTTGGGGTCGCCCTGAGTTGGTCTTGTCATTTAGCGGTGCATGGGGTTTCTCTTAGAGTTTTGGGCGTGTTTCTTGGGCTTCGATTTCTGCTGGTGTTTTCAGCGTGGGCTGTTTGGTGGGTGCTGGGTTTAGGTCGGTTTCTGAATTTCTGGCATCCACTCACGTTTGTTGGATTGAATTTCCTTTGTGTCCTTTCCGGTTTCTTTGGCCTGCTTGTTTGGATTGCTGTCTTTCTGGACTGCTTGGGTGTGGCTATGGTTTTGGGCATGTCCTTCTCCTTGTTTGCTGTCTTTGTTTTTTTTGGGGGGGGATCCCTATGCCTGCCTTTGTTTTTGTCACGCTACCTTTGGGCCGGACCAATTTGGGCTCCCATTGCTCAAAAAAGGACACACTCATTTTGTGAACCCTTAGGTCAGGCATTGGTGTTGATAGTTATGTTTTGAGATTCCTTGGGTGTTTGTTAGTTTCCTTGTGGCTTTTGGTTGGTTGCCATTAAGTTGTATTTGTTCAGTTCCTTTCGCTGTTTATATTTGATATAATGTGTTGCGGGTTGACTTTGGGAGCTTTGGTTTGTTTCCAGTGGTTTTCTTTGCTGGGCTCGTTGCGTTTCCTTGTTTTCTTGTTTTGCTTTCATGTTGGTGTCGTTGGGTTCCTGCCTTGTTGTGGGTTTTTTGTGTATAACCACAGGCTGGGTGTGTGTTTCTTATTTTCCCAGATCCTAACATTTCTGCGGTTGGTTCAACCTGCAGATATTCCAAAGTCACTTCATGCATATGCTTTAGGAGGTCTATATCGAGGTTGGTGCATGCTCTCATATTTTTGATGTGCCTTTTGGGAACACAGAGGATGTGAACTTGGGCTTTTGGTTTCTGGTCATTACAGATAAGCACATGCTCATCTGAGTACAAAACTTTAGTCTTACAATTTTAAATGATGATGTTGCAGAATCTGCAGTTTTCACCCATGCTGGTGGTTGTCAGCCTCCCCCCACCCAAAAAACATGAAGAAAGAAAAGAACCCAAAAGTGACGGCTCATGTCGTGCTTCTTCCCGGTCTCTTGTTTGTCAAAGCTCAAGTGAGCTACGCGTGTCTCTTTTCAACGAGGTGCTGGGGGGAAGCCACACCCCATTGTTGTTGTTTGGAAACCTTTTGCCCATTTTTGCTTATTGTGGTTTAGTGGTCGAACTCCGACCACTTAACTGCTAAAATTTTCAATATTTTGCTCCCCTTCCAACGTCAACCAAGCAACCGGTGGGTTTCAACCGACCCCATGGTGGGTTGTCCTCAAGAACGAGCCCCGCCCGGCACCTGGCACCTGGCACAGGTTCCGGACCCAGTTGGCCTGGCACCGCTACTGGGAGGCAGTGACGCAACTGCACTTCTATTATAGCAAGTTCGCGGCTTGGCACGGGAAAGAAGACCTAGTAAGACTGTGTTTTTGCCTGGGCTGAGTTATGTTTTGTTTTGTTTTTTGCTGGCCTGTGTCTTGATTTGCTCAGATTTGCCATGCTGTGTTTGTTTAGTTTGTTGTACCAATTTGCTTGGTCTGTTTGAGGTTTTTGGTATTTGTTGTGTGCTGTGCTCGCTTGGTTTGATTTGGTTATTGTTTCTCGTATCTAGTTTGTTCGGCTTGTTTGCTTTGTTTGTGTGGCTTGTGCGGCTTGTTTGGTTTGTTTGGTGTTGTATTTCTTGCCAACGTGGGATTTCCCACCTCAACTTTTGCAGATCAGCACTCCTTTGGGGGACCTTTTGGGGTTTTATTTGTTACAGTAAGCAGATTTTGTTGGTATGACAAGGCTGCCGTTTCTAGGACTACTTGTTTGACAACGTCTTTGGCCCGCCTAGCAGTTCTGGATTCATCTTGGAGATACGATGGATTTCTCAGTCAAAATAAGGAGCCATGTTACTATGGAGGCTAGTATCACTTGAAAGTGGCTACCTAAAACCATCCAGTGTCCACAAAACATGGCTTCAGAAGCCTTTGTTTGGGGCAAAGATGTTTCACCCCGGATTAATAGCTCCGTGGTTGATGAAAAAGGGGGGGCTGCACTTTAGATGCTATCGGATCACTTGTGGGGGGAGAGAACCTCTCTACCAAGTTGAGCAAAATGGGTTTCACCCAAAATAGCCCCTCAAAAGCGGGTGTGCCTTTTGCCTCCCTCTTTTAAACCATCACCCAGCTCCCAGTCTTTCGTTCGAGGCCACGCCGAATCTCAGGTGGACGTCTTCTCACAGTTCGCCGCCTTCGCGGAGGTGTCGCTGAAAGGTGCCCAGGAGGAGTGGTCTAAAGGTGTGGCCAAATTTCTCCAACTTGCTGTTTGGCTGCGGGTCAAAACCAATGGTACCATTTTGGGGTAGGGCACCACCCATTTTAGAGGGTACGGGATTTTGACCCATGGCAGTTTGATTAGGTCCCCCAGTGCCCTTTTACCCACTTTGTCGGGGGAGGGTTCCCCTAAAATAGGCTACAGAGAGAAGTTGGCACCCTTATTCTAACCTCTCTGCTGGAGGACCGCTTTTCTGCGTGGTCCAATTTGGGAATAGGAATTTGTGCAGAATGGTGAGCCACACCAGGCTTTTTTGGGAAAGAAGTTTGTACAGGGCGATCCCAGTAATCCCCACCCCGCATTAAACCTTTCAGGCAGTTCTTCGTTCTTTGCACCTGTTGGGCAGCTTGCCCTACGCAAAATGGCCACAAGCGTGGAGTGTCTGGCAACGGACTTGGCGCCAATCAGCAGCCCGCCTAGCTCAGTCGGTAGAGCGCAAGGGTACCCAGGCCCAAATAAAGCCGCGCTTTATATGGCTTAACTCATGTCCATTTCGGGTATACACAAGGAGCGCGGAAGAACTGCTTTTGGGAGATGTCCTTTCAGTGACACCCTAATCCCTTGATTCCCTAAACCCTAAACCCTACACCCAAAACCAAACCCTAAACCCCACACCTTAAACCCTAAACCCTACACCCAAAACCCAAACCCTAAACCCTAAACCCTACACCCCAAACCCTAAACGTTAACCTCTTCAAAAAACAACAACTCTAAGAAGAGCCCCCTTTGCTGAAAGAGCAGGACGCCGCCAAGACGGAGCGCATCCAACGCAAGCAGCGGAGGCCGGCAATGGGGGAAACTCGGCAGTCCCTCAGCGTCCGTTTGCTTGATCTCTGCATGCCCGTTTACTTGGCTTACCATTTGGTGAAATCTTTTGCCTTTTGCCGTACCTTGTGCTTGTCAATCAGCAGAAGGTGTACCTTGTGCAGCAGTCCAAGTCTGGCACTGTCTAAATTGTGGCGTTCGTTTACACCTAAAAAGGCAAACCAGGGTCTTCATTTCAACCAGGTCCTTATAGGCAGGTGTTTCTTGGGGACCCCGAAAAATACGGTAAAGACACTCTTCTTTTTGTTGGGGCGCTGGGTGGTGCAACCAAGTCGGTGCTGACACATACCCGGCAAAAAGAGGGGCGACATTTCGCTTGTCCCTGGCAGGCTGAAGGCCAACTTCGCGCTGCTCAGCGCGCTGGCGGCGGACCGGCTCACCCTGGGGGACAACCAGCGGATGGAAGACACCCGTGCCAGGCCACGCACCACCCACTTGCCCAGTGGCGCCCTGTTTTTCTCCTTTTTCTGGGAAGGGTTCCCCTTTAAACTCAACCAACCAAGCAAGGACGCCCTTTTTTCCCATGGCACTTGGGCATTTGAGACCAGGTTCACCAAATAGGTGTTGCGCATGTTTCAACGGGTTAACCAAAAAAAACTTGGGCTCCTGGAAAGCGCATGAAAGCGCTTTCGGCTGAAGCTGGACCTTGGGGATTTCACAATTGAGCAGTTAGTGCAGATTGATCATGCCATTGTCCTGTCTCTTCTCGAAAGGGGATCGGCCTGTGGACCTTTGATCATGGTGGCGTCCCGACAAAAACCAACCCCCAAAATGAAAGGGTGGCAGCTCAAAAATCACTCGGAGCCACTTTTGGCAAGGTTCCAAGGTGTTCACCTTTTTTGTACAGGTCCTTTGGGCCGGTAAGGTGATCCTTTCTCCATTTTGGTGTTCAATTTGGCGTTCAATCTCGGCGATGCATAGCAGAAATGGATGAGTATGCTGTATCTTTCCAGACCCTTTTCTCGGGGGGGGGCGCCCAAAACGCTGTCAGTCTTATTTGATTCACGTGCCCAGCAGAGAAGGCATCTGGCGACATCGGAAACTTCATGGGCCCCCGCCTCTGGTTGCTCAGTAAAAACCTGTCCAATAAGCGCAGATGTTGGAAAGGATATGTTTTTTGTTTTCTTCGAGGTACCCTTTTTTGGGTTGGGTTTGGAGAGAAACAAGCCGTCAAAACCACAATTTGAAGATTTCCCTTTGACACACACCCCTTTGAGGTGTTGGGCAAGGTTGACTCTTATTGCCTGGTTTTAGAAAAAGGAGCCCTAGGTAGGAGCAGGGAAACCTTTCGGGAGTGAACAAAGGCAAACATCGCCTCAAGTTTGTCTTTCCAAACGGATCATCTCACTTCGAACTTCAAACTCATAACTTGCACTACGACAGCATCTCCAGAACATCAAGTTGGGACCCCCCCACCCCCGGCGCTCGCAGGCGCGCCCAGACTCGCACGAGCATGCGCATCCAGAAGGAGTCACAGGCGCGCGCAAACACCGAGCTGCAGATACATGTGCGTAGAGGATAGGTTCAAAGGGAAACCAAGAGAATAGCAACCATTTGGGGCTCCTCTATTCTCCTATTTGGAGACAAACGCGTGTGTTTTTTTCTACACGTGATACCCTGTACTACCGGAGCTACAATAAACGAAACTCGTCCAAGCAAATATTCAATGTCATTTTGTGAAACATCTTAGACAAAAAGGTTCGCACCCAAAACATGGCTACTGAATGGGTCTTAAAGATCTCAAATCACTGAAAAATGGGGTTGGACGAGATGCATGATCCAAAACATAGGCCATACCAAACTTTGTATTGCCAATACCTGATCTCAGATGTCCAATGCCAAATTCAGTGCTGCCAATGCTTAATCGTAGGTTCCCAATACTACGTTTCACATTGTCAAAACTAAATAAGGTATTGCCCGATCTTGGGCTTCCGCTTTTGCATTTAATGCAGTCAACACTTAATCTTAGGTTCCAATACAGGTTGAGTTTTGGCAATAACAAATTTAGATTGGCAAGCTTAGCTCAACCATTGGCAATCCTAAGTTTAGTATTGTCAGTCTCGGGATCCAAGATTTCGTTTTGATGCTACTGAACTTAGGAATCAGGGCATCCATCTAGGGCTACCTTCCCCATTCTTTCCAGGGATCCTTCTTTTCAGGAAACCGTCAAAACCCCAGGGAAACAGATCCGGTTTTTGACAAGAACGATGGTTGAAAAGAAAAGAAAAGTAATCAGCCCCTGGAATCCAGGAATCCGCCTCTCTCAGTCAGACAGCCCAGAGTTTGGCTTCCTGTCGGATGAAAAGCCACCGGAAGCCCCAGCAAAAACAAAGAGCCTTTAAACAATACTATAGTGCGATAGTATTCACCAAGCTTTCAAAACATGTTTGTTTTTTACAAGCAACCATGTTTTTGTTTACCAAACATGCATTCAAAGCATTCACCGAACATTCACCAAACATTCACCAAACATGTTTTTGCTGCAAGAGGTGCTAAGGGCAGAGATGACCCGCGAGCCGGGTGTCAACTGGGGGAGTGACGAAAAAGTACGGAGGCAAACTCCATAGCACTCAAAGCATGTCCTCTCCGTACTCGCGCACCATCCCCAGCAGCAAGCATTCACCAAACGAAACTAAGAGTTGGCAAGACTGAATTTAGGTTTGGGAATTTGATTTTCGGGATTGCTGATTTTAGTATTGGGAGCCTATTGATAAAACCAAACTTAGATTGGCGGCACTGGATTTTGCACTGCACATCTAAGATCAACTATTGGCAATGCTAAGTTTAGTGTTTGGCATTTCTGAAGTTAGCACTTGTGTTGCTGCGGGATGGGGGGGCAGCATACCAGAGGTGAAACACAATTGTGTTGCATGTTTCCCCCCGAAAAGGTTCGACGGGGGTCGTTGTCTCAAGTTTCCCCAGTTTTGCTTGGACAGTTTTGTAAAAGGCATAGACTTGTTTGTGACCGATCTATTATGGAGGTCGGACGACTGTGAAGAAATCGGATTGTCTCAAAACGGCGGGCCAATTGGTTTTCTTTGGCTTTACCCTCTAATCCAACCAAACCGGGATTGTGGGCCAGTGCCGAATGGCGGATTCCAAGAATTCCTTGCAGCCTATGGGTTTCGAGCTCACGGCTTGCATCCTGAAGATCGTTTGTCGCTGAAAAGCCAAAGGCAGCATGTTGGCCACGCTTCCCGGGGCTTGCAATTTCTTTTCATGGGTTCATCACTGGGTCTATTTCTCCGCCCCCCCCAAGGATCAGATGATCTGAGGGATCTGGGCATGCGCGCTTCTCTTCACAAGAGATGTTGGCTTTCCAGTTGGTTTCCTTTGAAACCAAGCTTTGAAAAGGCTACCCTCAACAACACACACACACACCAAACAATCCTGGTCATGAGAGGCCGTAAGGCGTTAGTCCAAGGTGTTGTCCACCCATCCACTGCCCTCAGGCCGAATTGGTTTTGCCATCTTCAGGGATACACCATTTTCCTCTTGGGGCTTGGAGGTGCACACTTGATTTCAACAGCCCCCCCCCCCACGTTTGTTGCAATGCCCCTGAGCCAAGCAGGAGTTTGTGGGTGTGTCTTTCCTTTGGGCCTTCGGGAACTCGTTTCGCAAAGCCAAACAGGGCAAATGACACCCAAGCGGTGCAAACTATGAAACGAATCGAAGCGATATCTCTCGTTTTCACCCATGAAGGTCTCGTGGGGATTTTTCGTGTGCTCACTTTGAACCTGACAGTAAGTTAGCTCAGAAAACAGTAAGACCCATCTGAGTGATTCATTCGTAGTGGCTCAATCACTCAGTAAGTTGCTCAGAAGACAACGTTGCAAGACCCATCCGAGTGATTGACTCTTAGGCCTTCTTGAATGGACCGAATCCTTCCGCGCGGCAGGGCTTCCAGCAGCCCGCGTTCGCTGAAGCAGACAAAGTGGACCGAGACGACAAGAAGGACCAACTAGGGTGTCTCGTACCCCTAAACCACTTAGCTTTGCCAATGCCTTGGGTCATTTTATTTTGTTCTGCCGCGTTCACACAGATGTATTCTTCAATGCTACTTTTGGAGCCCTGGTACGTTTTCCATTCCAAAGGAACGCCAACCTAGGGGTCCTGCTGCACACCACCGTGACCAAGCAGCACTTTCCTCAGCACCCTTGTGAGCATCAAAGCAGATTTCTACAAAGGTGTAAGTCCCTTAAAGCAGTGTCTTCACCAGCTAGTCTCGAATCCTTGTGACTCACTTCCTGAGTTCCTGGACTTGATTCTTTTTGGGGGTAAAAGCTCGAAAAAAAATACGTTTGTTTTGGCCATCCACTCAAGAAGTGAGGTGAAGCAGCCGGTTTTGGGTGGCAAGGACACGCGGTACAAGATCTTTCAGCTGCCCTCCAGCCGGCAGATGCGGCTCTTAGAGTCCTCGCAGGCGATTCGAAGCCACGGTTGGAAAGCGACAAAGGAAGCAGCGAAACCGCAAACCATGTTTCAACCGAAAGGGACCCATTGATGAATTGACATGACGTTCCTTTTGGTTTGTCTAGGGTCATTTTGGTAAGTTTCGGTTTGTTTGGCTATATTTAGTTTTGCTTGGTTTGTCCAGCTCGTTGTCCGATTCCAGAAGGGAACTCAGCAAGGAGGTCCAATCCCGGAGGAGTTTCCTCTCAACAAGATGGTTTTCTGGGCTTCGAATAAAGCTGCAGGCATTGTGAGCAAAATCCGGTTTACCGGCAAATTGAATCCCGACCTCACAAACCAGGAGGGGTTCCAACCCATGTTTTTCTCGCCCGAGAAGATGTCTTTCTTATTTCGTTCTGGCTCATTTGGGGCTGTTGAGTGATCTCCATCAAAATGGGGGGTTAAAAGGACACCACCCCAAGTTCATCCAAACTACTCGGACAAGACTCGAAAACTAGGGAGTCAAAAAGGAGCTTTGCACAGCTTGGTTAGCCTGTGGGTCCTTTGCGCCTGCTTTGCTGGTATTTCTTGTGGCTGCCCCATTTTTTGGGGCAGGACAAACCCAAGCGACGATGTTGGCAGGCAGGCCAGAGACCCCACCCAAATTTAATGGCCTCACTCGGCCTTATGCCTTAGGGCTTATTGACCAGACCTTGAAAGGAGTGTCTTTGGGTGGCAGGGTCACTGATATTTGCAAAACAAAGTGCAAGGGCATTAAATAAACGAATCAACCCATGATGTTTTTGTTTTTTTTCATGCAAATTCCTCAATCCCAGCTTGGTACTGCCTAAAGTTGACAGCGAATGTTGGAACCTTGCTTTTTCGGCAAGTACCTTCCCTTATCACTTTTTTTTTGGAAAGTGCTCAAGGGGAGCCAAAGGGAACAAGTTTGCGGGTCCCCAACTTCTCACTTCAGTGTCTTTGTTTGAAGCTTGTCGGAACCTGCTTCATCTTGCTTCTGACCAGCACTCTCCCCCCTCAGGAAGTGAGTTTGAGAAAGCTCTGCTATTCCTGAGTGCCCTTCTGGAAGCAATTCAATGTGTCCAAATAGGGATTCAAAATGATTCAAAGCCGCAAAATTATTGATGTCGTTTGGGTCTCCCTTAGCCCAACCTCAATCTTGGGATACCACCAAAAAATGCATATACTACAGAGATTCTATATATATATATATATATACACACACACATTGTTAATATATTCTTTTTGGAAAACAATGGGGTTTTCCACTAAACCCCCAAAAGTTAAACTTTTTGCAGGGGGGTCAACAGCAACCAAGATATATACATGTTCAGACACCCCTGGCTACAGGATGCGGTGTCCACGGTGATGTACTGGATCATTTGGGACCTGGCGGACGCCATGAAGGACCTGAGCATCGCACCCCCGATCCAGAGCCGGATGTGCCACGGCCGAATCGACCTGACCAATCGACCCCTTTGGTGTCAGGTGGTTTCAGGTGGTTTCTTTCAGGTGGTTTTCAGTTTCTTGTTTTTCGTTTGTTTTTTTTTATCCTTTCGGTTTTTGTTGGGTGGTCTCTCGGTTTTTTGCCCAGTTTTTGGCGGATTGGTTGGTCAGCCGTGGTTGGCGTTTGGGTTTTTGCGTTTCCTTCAATTTCCGGCACTTACTGGAAAACAGCGAGCCGGCTTCCGTGTTGGGTTTTCCGTGTTTGGTTGTCCTCTTTGAAGCGGTCGGAGCTCCCAGGTACCAGGAGCTGTCCAACGGCATGCTGGGCTTCAACAACTGCGTGAAGGCGCCGAGCGAGACGCCGAGAGACCGAGAGACCGAGAGACCGAGAGACCGAGAGACCGAGAGACCGAGAGACCGAGAGACCTGTCGGCGCCTTTTTCTCTGTTCAAAGCTCATCCGCAAGATCCTTACCTGGGGCTACGCAAGGAACCGGTCCTCTTTGTGACTTTCCTATAGGGATTATGGATTAGGATTGGCCCACCCTCCATTTTGAACAGCCCAGTTTCCTGGAGGGCCGCCGAAAAAGGTTTGCTCTGTCATGTTTCCCCATGTGCCGCTGGGGGTCTGGGAATGGGAGCCGACTTCGAACAAGTTGGCAAGAACCACCAAACTAGCGGTTCCCTCACAGTATGGCAGACGTCGCAAGTGAAGCCTGAAGAAGAAAATTGTTCCCTCGAGAGGTGGACAAGAAAACAAGGGCAGACCAAAGGAACATCATGCATGGTCCCTCAAGATATGGCCGACTGTTTGTTGTGTGAATTCCTGAGCCAAAAAACGGGTGAGCCCAAAAAAAACACGTGTCCAACAAAGTATGGCCCATTTGACTGACATGTTTGAACTTTGTCCTGTGACCATGTTTCATCACAGTACCGCAGACTAGGCTTCTATTCCTGAGTTCTTTGGCTTCAAGTAAGGCAAGTCTCCTTTGTCATGCTGAGTTTGAACGTGGAACGGTTCTTTCCTTAGAGTTGTCTATTTCCACCCAAGAAGAGGGAGGGAGCCCCAAAAACCGGAGGGGAGGGGGACCCACCAAGCAACTGCTGGCCGGAGTGTTCGGTATCCAGGTGGCCGATGTGCCCTTCCCCCTTCCCTTTGCGCAGCTCTTGGGGATCTTGTTGGCCGCTTTCTCCTGCCTCATGCCGGTGCAACCTGCCAAGCAAAGCTCTGCGAAAATCGAATCGACCGAGTTGTATTTTTTTCTCTGGGGTGTCCTCCCAAAAATGGGTTTGCTTTCTGCTTTTGGAGGTAAACTAAACATGACGGAATCTGAAAGTATGAATTTCCGTGTCGCCCGTTGTTTTGTGGGGCAAGTTTTAGCATCGCAAGCTGCACGCGACTTGTTTGACCTTTGCTTAATTGTTTGGCAACCATGTTTGGTCAAGGCTACCCCCAATATTTCCAGGTCCTTTGGGTAGAGAAATGCAAAGGGCCGTAGGATGTGTGGGCTGGAGTGTGTGTGGGTGTGTGTGTGTGTGGGTGTGGGTGTGGGTGTGGGTGTGGGTGTGGGCATGTGTGGGTGGGTATGTGTGTGTCTGTCTGTGTGTGTGCGTGCCCGCGTGCTCCTTTCCAAAGACATGCGGGGCAAGGCGTGTACAAGCATGGACCTGTTGCTTACGGTCAAGTATGGAGATCTTGCATGAGCGGCGTCCCTTTCTGTTCGCGAAGGGAACTGGCCATAGCTCGCACATATGTCATGGTTGAAAGGGTATGGCCAAATTGCGTGTGCTTTGTCCCCAGCCGCCGAGACGCTCGAAGACTCAAGCAACATTGCAAGAACACAACACAAGGGCATGAACAACATCCGCAGTCAACTACACACCAAGACCCTCATACCATCCAAACGACAAAACCACACCAGAGTGGACAGCATCCGAAGACAACTAACATCCAAGACCGCAAACAACATTCGAGAGAACGACGTGGCAAGACCCTATCAAGGTCCAAGCAGGAAAACAACACAAAAACCGAAGCAACAGCCAAAGGATGACACACACACACACACACCCACCATGTCCAAGCTTTGAAGGTACGTGGTGATCTTTACGCAGTCCCCGATCGTGAGCCCCATCGTGTGCTTCTTCCTCTTCGAGAGCCTCTGGTGTTTGAACGAAGTGGCCAAAGAGCTGGAGAATCCCTTTGGCCAGGATGCAACTCGGCCAGGTCTCCTCCAAAAAAATACCTTGGACGAAATAGGGGCCAGGATCTCAACGCATACTTTTCCACTGGTGTGCCAACCAGTTGTGGGCCAACAGGGTTGAAGCTCTGCGCCTTTTTATGGATTGCACAAATATCACCTGTTCCGCAAACTGAATGCGATGTGGGTGGAGCGGTGGGAGATCTTGGAAATTTGTTCCGAAGGACTGTGTTTTGCGGGATTCAGCACGCGGAACAAATCACATCCATGAAGCAACCTACCAAAACTCCGGTGAAGCAACAGGAACCTCGCAGGGTCTGACAGTCTGAGCCCGAAGGAGCAACTTCTTTGCCAGATTCGGTTCAGGTTCCTTGTGCCACCTACAGCCCCTCTAAGACACCACCCCCTCAAAACATGCGAGGCTCCCCATGGCAAGTTTTCAGTAGCTGCGAGGTGAATGATATCTCTGTGAACGACTTCCATGTCCGATTTGTCGACACCCTGATGAGCTTGAGCAGCCCTAAGCAGCAGGCGGGAGGGCTTGGGCGGAGACTGAGACCGCGGATCGATCTTGGAACCTTTCGCGGGGTTGCGTCTTCTGAAACTGGGACCGGGGTTGGTTGCTACAGTACAGCAAGTAGGGCAATTTCAGCTTGTGAGGTTTTTCTGCCGGTGTAGTAGTGGGGTAAGTTGTCTGCACCAGTAGACTGCAACTGCCAAGCCCGAAGCACACAAACCCAGTTTTGGCCTGGGGAAGGCGTGTTTGGGTCCCCCCGAAGAGTGTGAGTTGCTGACTCCCTTGGCCCTTGCTGGATCAGGTTGCCCGCTTTAAACTGGTCAGCGGTTCTTGATGTCTGGGTCAGTTTTCGAGCCTTGCCATGCCAGTCCCATCTGAAAAGGCTCGGATGGACCCGGTTTGTATTCGGCGCTGGCCTATGATTTTCCGAAAGTGTTTTTAGGTCCTTTGGGCGGGTGCAAACCGGTCAGATGCTCAAATCCTGGGATGCGGGAGTTCCTACCAGCTCCAAACCATGATTGGCAAGGGAAGTAATGGCAGGCTCGGAATGTTTACTACCAAAAAGCCGCTCGATATTAAATGGTAAAAAGGGTACCGGGACAGTTTCTAGCTTCAAGCCCACTCACAATGTTTGCTAGCCCCAACCAAAAAAACAAAACAAAAAAACGCGCAAGGGAGCTCCTCCTTGATGAATTTCTAGGATGGGCAGGATTGCATGCAAATACCAACTTGTTTGTTGCAAGTCTTGGGAATGCTGGCCGTGTGAACTGGTGAGCTGTTGGCCTCGGACATTTGAAACTCAGCTTCCAAGCCGTTGGATCGGGTGTTTCGGTGCAAACCAAGGATTCCTGAAGGAGCCATGACCACGGCCAACGGATGGCTTTTTCCGCCAAAATAAAGGGAAACCACCATTTACGAGGCAATGTTCAGGTGTATAATGTACGGATCCCTGTTGTCCCTGTTGGACAAGTTGAATCCCCCTTAAAAGTGGGTGGTGGACATCATTCCCCCCCCTAAATGGTGTCCAGCGAATGCCTTCTTAAAGGTCATCCAATCAGCCCGCATCGCTGAGTTGCCAGGCGGTTTTGCATCATCCCAGCTTGGGCCTACCGGACCCGGACGCAGCGCCGGACGCGTCCGCAGCGCTGGAAGTCGCTTTGGACCTGACAGACGACCCCAAGGAGCCGGATGTGGAGGTGCCAACAACGAAGCTCCAACTCTAGTCTCACCTGGCTCGGTCTTCTCACTTGGCCACATCGGACAGCTCGGCCTTTTCGGTGTACCGTTTTGATCCGCAATGGTTTAGTTCAGCCCAAGAAAAACTGGTCAAGAAAAGAGCTGTGGGCAAGTGAGCACTTGGGACGTGGTCAAGTGAGCCCCTTCCAACCAGCAACGGATCTAGGAACTGGTTGGTGGGGTTCCCATGTTCCCCATCCCGGTGACTCTGAGTTTCCACTGTAGGTAAACAAGCCATGTTTCTTTGAGCCAAAATGTGTTTCCCTTGGTTATCTTTCAAGGGGTAACTGGGTACTGAGAGCGAGCATCTTTTGACTCGACGAATCGGCATCCTGCCAAGCAGCCCGATGCCGAGACCCGGTGCGCCCGGGGCGTAAAATCCCATCGACCGCATGTGACTTCTCGGCTTGCCATGTGGCCTCCAAGCAAACCATGTTTCTGACGGGTGGGCTTGGGATCATGTTTTTGCCAGCCAGGGCCAACTTCTCTTGCCGTCCCCAGAAAGGTTTTTAGCTCTTTAGGGCTTAGTGGGGGGTTCCATTTAACCCACTAAAAATTAAACTTTTAGCAAGGGATCTGAGGACAGCTCGATTGTGACTCTTGTCAGGCCACTGTCAGGCCATGGTTCCCTTGGAAGTAGCCATCCCAGAGCTTCTTTCGCCATTTTGCTTTCGGTGTTTCACCGGGTGCTCCGCTTGGTGGGCACCAAGGCCGGGCCCCGGGCTTCTGGCGGTGGACACGGACGCGGACTCCCTGGCCGGCTCCGCCGTCGGGAACCTGGGCGTCCAGAACTGGGTCATATGCCCCAGTCCCTTGAAGGGGTTCTCACGTTTGCTCAGGGCTGAGAGGGGTCATCCTTCGACCGTAAGGTTGCTTTCTATTGTTTTGGAAGGCCACTTCACTCCTGGGTTTCGGCTGAGTGGTAACATAGATTTTGTCTTGGGCCTAGCCCAGGAGTTCCGCGGCATGGTTGGATTTCTGACCTCAAATGTTTGTCAGTTTTTGTTTTTTTCTTTTTTGGGGGCCCCCCTGGCAAGGTTCCACTTGGTTTGTCTAGGGTGCGCTTGAAATGCTGCGCGCGAATATGTAGCAACCATGGTTGTTGAATGTTCTAACATGCTGCCTCGCAATGGCTGCTCCTGGCAACGTGTAAATGCCTCAGGAAAAAATCAAGCTCACCATTGATGAAGGTTCTTCACTTGGGGATTTTATTTAGGTTTTGGAGTTGTTTTAGAATTGGTAGAGTGTAGCTCACGCTCACCATTACAGTGTTGCATCCATCATCTTTTACACATGCATATTTACAGGAAACCACCCAGTTTGCGCCCAATAAGCCGACCAGTGCTCACTGCGAATGCCCCTTTGAACGCAAGTTGTCATAGGGACAAAACGCTTTCCGTGGACGTGTATACCCCTTGCTAATACCACTTGGTTCCCTTACCGCCTGACGCTGTCATGGGGATGTACTAACAGCAAGCCCATGGAAAGGGAGTATTTGCACTAAAATTGCGCAAACACACCGGGAAACAGTTGGCTTTTTTTTCTCCGACATGGAGGTCCCCTACAAGGAGACCAGCCTTTCTACACCTTCAGCTTGTGTTGGAAAGCGGTTTTGTCATGACTTGGCGATGTTTTGCCCCAAACCCTAAAAGCTGGATTCGGATCGGTGTTGTTTTTTTCCTCGAGCTGGTTTTTTACTAGGGCTGGTCCCCTAAAAGCCATTGTAAGAAACCAATGCGAAAGCCCCCGGGCCCAAGTGGCCCCAACCCCTTTTGGGCCTCGGATGGCTTGATCCAGCTAGGTCAGCCCTGCCGGGTCCCGTGCGGAGCATTCCCTGCAGAACTTGTGGCACTCACAGCAGACCCCGCAGGGCAGCGCGGCACCTTCGCAGGGGCACCCGGCTTCACCAAATGCCATGGCTGCCTCATGACACTTCGCAGGCGAACCCGGGAATTTCATGTATGGTTCCATTTCCCCTCTTCTGGGGAAGAGCAGAAAATTGGAAACTCCTACACGTTCTCCATCCACGGTAATTTCTGAATCTTTCATGCACTTGCTGACTCGATGGGACGATCGGGTAAGTCAGCACCTTTCACAGCCTGCAACCATTTGCGGGCCTTGTCGCCAAAGCCATACAACCCCCTTATTCACATGCAAAGGAAACCGACATTGCCATGGCCAAACGGGAAATCCGCGGCACAAAGCCTTGCGGGACATGGGGCCAGGGCTTCTTGTTTGGGCTGAGATGACGGCGTTGCTTCAATGAAGTTTGCCAGCTGCAGATCAGTGGTTTTTCACGTGAACCAATCCATAGAAAAGAAAGGGTGCCAGCTGTCAAACAGAAGGGCCAAGTTCATTGAAGGGACCCTCAAATCGATGAACATGACATCCACCGCCCAAAGCAAAAATGGAGAGAGACCCTCCCTCAAAAGCAACAGCTGCCACTAGAATCCGCCAGCTTTGATACGAGCGCCACTTGCAATCTGACAGTTCTTCAAGCAGATTGTCGGCCGTGTGGCTGCGCCGGCTGCTCGGAGTTTCGTCCCTCACTCGGTTCCGCCGCTCTCCAGAGCTGCGATCCGTCGCCCTCCACGTAGGTGTGGGCACCTAGGCGGCGTGCGAGAGTTGGGCAAGTGCGCTTGGCTATCCAGCAAGCACCCAGGGCCGTTTGCGGAAATGGCTGTGCCTTTGACTGACCGCCGCGTGGCACGCCTCTTCGAGAAAGAGAAGGCCGTTAACCTGTGGCCTTCCAGATCTGTGACGCGCAAGAATGGAGCGTTGAAGGTGCTCAGCAGTCAAAAGGTGTAGCTTGGTCGCAGATGCATGAGCACTCAGCGCCTTGACCCTTTGTCTCTTGAGTAAGCATGGGGTTCTTTCAACCCCCAACCGATCGATTTTGCCTCCAAACATGGGCAGATGTGCGAACACCTTCAAAGGGAATGTGGATTGGTCCCGGGCAGCACTAGACAAAATACTTGTTGGGGTTCCAAGACTAAAAATCATTCTGGCCCCAGGCACGAAAGCATCAAATCAGGCCATATCTGCCACCTTTATTCAGTTGGATTATGTTTGATTTAGTTTTGCTTTGGGGGAGAAGTCCTGGTTCTGGGCCATTGTCCTCTGAAAGGGGCCTTGCGTTGCGGGTTCCATATTGCAACATGGGGGCTATGAGCCAAAAAGCTAGGTTTCATTTTGCCCCAACTCAGCCTGACACGGTTCCGCTGTGGACTATGTCCACAAAGCGCAAACATGGGACGGTAGCACGGGCCAAACAAGGGCCCGGCTCGTGATGACATGAACATTTTTTCCACTTGTACTTTTTACCTCATCTTTTGCTCCTAGAAATCACGTGCCTAGGTTCCGGCCCACACTCAGTGCTCAGGGCAAAGCTTGCAAAGGGTCCGATGCGACGGGCGACGGTCATATTGCGTTTTCTTCCCGTCGCATTGGGTTTGAAGGCAGCGATCCTAGGCCGATGGCCGGCTCCGCGTCGGGCGACGAGGCGCCGAACGCCGAAAGACAGGGCGGTCGACCCGCCGTTGGTTTTTCGCCCGGCGCTCTTCTGCTTTCTTGGGGGTTTCCAGGCGGTTTTTTGGGACTCGGTGGGAGGAGGTGGCTTGCTCTGTGTCTGTGTCTGTGTCTGTGTCTGTGTCTGTTTGCTTTCCGAAGCCCGGAACAAAAGGCAGCGATTTCCGGGCTTGCCGGGCCACCCATGGTGAAACTGGGTTCTCGGATTTGTTCAAGAACCCATCCAGAGAGGGAACCCGTTTTGGAGCGCCTTTGATTGCAACCACTCTTGCATGAACAAGACAGAACTGATGGTTAATTCGCCCAGAAGTCCAAGGTTCTGACCAAGAGCCGGAAGTTCTTCTGTTCAAAGCACGACAGCGTCATGAGCTTCGCACACGTGGACTGGTTTGTGCGGGCCCAAACCAACCTCAAGCACTTCGATGCCAGGCCCCCATGCCACCGGGATCTCCGGCCACCTCCGCGCCCAACACGGAGAGGGGCCGAATGCCGCTGGGACGGGCGAAGGTGTCGTATCTCCAGGGTTGTAACAAAAACCGGTGGTGTCAAGTCATTCTTCCCATGTGGTTGCATTTTCAGGCGTTCTTAGAATAGCTTTCGGGGTGGTGTCCCTTTAAGCATCTCAAAGCGATGGCTGCGTGCGTCAACTTCGGCACGGGCCTGGGGGTGGACAATTGGTCGGTTGCCTGGTGCTACCCGTAGCACTGGCTCGGAGGGCCAGAAACAAGCTCTTTGAAACGTCCATCCGCTCAAGTCTGAGGCCGCGCGGCCCTGGCCCTATGCCAGGCAACGGCGAGAGAAAGAAGGATTCGCGCGCTTTCCTATTTTGAGTCTTTTGGCAAAGGGAAACCAACAACGGATGGGTCGTTTCTCAGTCCCCCATGCAACTCCCAGTCTTTTGGGGGAAGGCCTTTAAGATCAAAGGGGATGCCCTGCTTTCTCATGGCCCTGGGCTGATCCGTGCTATGAGTGCCATACTGAGAGCACTTTCGCCTCGGGGCAGGCATGGCCATCAGCCACTTTAAAGATGGCATCTACGAGTTTTGTGTTTTTTTGGCAATGGGAGCCATGGCCATGACACACAACAAGTGCTGACCCTGTCACTTTTATAAATGCTTGCTCCAACTTATCTATTGGCACATGGGTTTGTTCAGTTGTTTAGCATTGTTTGATGTGGAACTTGAATCGTCTTTTCTCGTTTGTTTCCGCATTGCATATCTATTTGATGTGCGTGTTTCTTTGTTGTTGTTTTTTCCCCCGTTTTGTTTGTTTGTTTTTTTTTGCTTGAGGTATTTACGCATTCATTTCATTAAATTATCTATGTTGGATACCCAAAACAATCTAGTCTCACCTTCGGTTGCATGCAAAGTACCGTTTGAACGAGTAAATGGCCCTATCCCTTTGAATGTGCAGGTTGTGCCATAAGAAGCGGTTGGGATTCCACTAGCATGAAGATTTG